TCTGCTCCATCTTCCTATCATCTGATTTCACGCATGTTTCTTGCTCGGCTTATTATTCGACCATGAAGATGGAGGTGATATATTTCTCTGAAAAGTCAGTTGAACTTCAACGGACTATATGGTGCTATAACCCAGAAGAAGGTATTCTTAATAACCACCCCTGTGAGAGCCTCAAATCTTATACAGATATTTTATGTTTTACACAGGCCTATCCCACGATGAATTACCATATCATTCATTATTCATACTCACATGATCAAACTAGCTCAAGGGAGAAACCTTCTGACTTGCATCCAAGATGTGCAAGGTTCGAATCTTGGCAGGGACACTGAGAGTCCTGACGAGGTTTTCCTTTTTTTTTTTCTTCCGTCCCTCCTGGGACTGTGCTTCGAACTAATTGATGACCGCATCTTTCCACGTCCTTTTTTATAATTATTCACTGCAATTCTACCATTCGACGCTACCTAATCTGAGCTACTGAAAGCGTTCTAAATAGACAGCAAATATTTAAAAATATTAATTAATAATTCTTTTGTCCCGCGCCATAGCTCAAGCGGTTAGTCGCTGGCTTCCCACAGCGACGGCCCTGGTTCGATCCAAGGTCTGGTCAAGTGGGATTTGTGGCGGACAAAGTGGCGCTGGGGCACGTTTTCTCCGAGTACTTCGGTTTTCTCTGCCAATCTTCATTCCACCAATTGCTCCACAATCACCCTCACCTATCATCTGGGGCTGGTACAATAGGCCAGAAGTGGCCGCAGTACAAGGGACTTAGTCCCACCCCTCTAGCAATAAAAAAGAATTAATAATTCTAATTAACAGTCCCACCCCACTAGCAATAAAAAAGAATTAATAATTCTAATTAACAGAGTCCGAATGACTACTTCGCCTGGCGCTGGCTTAAATCTGAGACAGCAGGTTCCTCTGAAACGTTTACACACACACACACAACCACACACACAAAATCACATAATGTATCATTTCAGGAGGTAAATGCTACAGAATTTCTGACACAGACATCCATGGCTCTACAGCCTTTCGTTTCACCTTGGCCGCTTTTTCAGTTTCTTGATATATACACAGTCGGTAGGACAGGGGATCAGGCGGTCATAAGGCCGCTACCTACACATAGGACAGCATAAACACAGAATAAACGCATACAGACGTTTATACAATCTACAACGCGGCCATTGTGATCGGCCTGACACAAGCAAACTTTAGGAATATGTAATAATGACGTCATGTTACGGAATATTAATCATTTTAAGAACATTTTCAGGTGCTAAATATTAATTGTCGGTCATGGTAGGCGAGCGGTCTAAGGCACGTACTGTCTTCGCTCGCTAGGAAACCGGGATCGTGGGTTCGAATCCCACTCAGGGCATGGATGTTTAGTTTGTGTGCGTACGTTTTTCTGTGTCTGTGTAAAGGTAGAGGCCTTGCGACGAGCTGATCACCCGCCCAAGGAGTCCTACCGAATGTGTAAGATTTAGAAAAACCGAAGTCAACGGAAAAGTTAATGGAGGTAGGCCTACGCCCACTGGGGCTGTAGTGCCAAGGAAAAAATATATTACTTAGTAAGGTAAAGTTATCCCCGTGCTTAATTAATTAAGCACTACGTCATGAAGGCGTATGGAAAGAAGAGTGGATGTATATATCCACATTTTCTTGACTTTGGCACTAGTTGGAGGTGAGTGGTCAGCTTCATGTCCCTGCCAATTTACCCCCTGGGAAAGAGCCGCTGGTACCCATTGGATAGGAGGTCCCAGAGCCGGTCTGAACAACGTGGAGAAGAGAAAATTCTTGACCCTACTGGGACTCGAATTCCGACCCCTCGGTCGTCCAGCCCGCAGCCAATTGCTATACCGACTATGCCATTATCTGCTTTAACACACTGTCTTACTGTCTCTGTACGCTCTCTCTACGCTGGCCTTTTATCCATTGATACTCTTTAATTTTGTTTTGTTCCTGACGCCTGCCCAAAACAAACTGAAACACACACTACACACAGAATGACAATGGAGATTACGGGAGTGATACAACATCAAACAAAACACTGACGAATAATTAACAGTTGAAAATCAGCTGAGCATGGCGGTAGGTGTCAAAACATAACTACCGTATTATGTGCGTGTTAGATTTTGAAGTGAATAACAGTTTTCAGCAAAGCTTGTATTGTTAAAAAGCTTAACACATAGCACTATCATAAATAACGTTCTTTGTGCTTATTAATTAAATGTATGTTATGGTGTAGCCTACATTTGAATTATATACGCTATGCCATAAAAACTCTTTTAAAATAAAAGTTGCATATGCAAAATTTGAGATTTTCAGAGGGGTCACTATAAAGAATGCCGTCTACTTGGGTGTGGCACCGTGTAGACCTTGTGTGAACCGACATTTCGGAGGAATATATCGCCTGCATCTTCAGGGTAGAAAAATCCTCGAGAGAGGAACCAGCGTCAGCAGGTGGTTGCAGACTGAGTCGGTATGCAGCCACAGACCAAAATCAAATTCGACTGATCTCAGCTTAGGTCGCACAACACCAGATTTAATTAAAACCGGTTCAATAATTCTGGAGATGAAACATGAAGACAGACTTACACAATCTTCCCATTAGGATTTCATGTTACGCATTCTGAACAAACTGCCCATAAAGATGTTTATGTTACAAAACAACCACCTTCCACAGCACAAACACACAAACTAATTAACCGTCCTGCCTTCAGACGGTTCATTACACCTTGTGCCACAAGTGATGACACTGGGTTGCGCAAGGGAGGACAAGTTAAATGTCGGTAAGAATAAAGAACAGCCAGTCACGATAGCCGAGCGGTCTAAGCCATGCACTGTCTTCGCCCGCATGGAAGTCGGGATCGTGCGTTCGATTCCCACACAAGGCGTGGATGTTTGGCATGTGTACGTGTTTATTCTGTGATTGTGTTGTCCTGTGTTTAGGTAGAGGCCTTGCGACGAGCTGATCACTAGTCCAAGGAGTCCCACCGTCTGTGTAAAAAATGATCATGAAATTGAAAATTAGAGACCAGGACCCAAGGGGGCTGTAAAGCCAGTGAAAAAAGAAAAGAATGCAACTATCAGCTGTAGACTTTCTCTGCTCAAAACCAGGCAGCATGTTGAAATGCTTCACCTCTATCAGTCGACCAAGCTGTCTCGTCCATCTTCGTGACTCTGTCCGAAAGAAAGGGAATACTAATTCTGAGTGCATATCATCATCTGCAGCACCAACTCAACATAAACTTAGTTAGGGCACAACTGTCCTTAGGAACTTCTCCCTTAACTTATCGCCATAAATAGTGGCATCTGCTTTGATCCGTTACCTAGCGAACAGGAATTACCCGAGCCCACTTCCTACGTATGGATTAACTGCAGGAAGAAGAATCGATGGGAACATTTCAGCGTCATTAGTTTCCAGATAACTGATTGATTTGCTGCCTACTTAAGGATTGAGACTATATGGCGTCTAATGATTGTCTCATGTTAAATACTGAATTGCAAAGGAAGTGAAGGGAAGAAAACTTGTTCTGGTTTAAGGTCAAATGTCAGAATTTGCCTGGGGAAATTGAGGAAAACCGGGAAGAAACTCAGTCAAGACAGCCGGTGTCCACGGCTCACATTCGAACAATACACCTCCCGAAGACAGGTTGTGTTCGTCGCGAGAGAATTTGCTCGGGCCCAGGTAACTGCAGAATGAGCAGATGTTACTGAGGAGTAACAGAGTAAGTTCTATGGGCCGACTGGAAGGTGAAGTGCCTGTACGATGGGTATGGAATGATCGCAGCCTGTTTTGAAGTACTACAGCACAACTTGCGTAATACAATGAGGACGACCATACAACACGCAAGTACGGTAGTCCTCTGAACAGAGATTCGAAATGAAATGTCTGGGACACAAAATATGAATGCTAACCAATCATCTGCGAAATTCGGCATCGCCGTTTTCTGTTGTACTCGCTGTCAAGAGCACTTTTGTTTATAATTTCGTCATATTTCTCACAGGCAAACCAGCTATGCGGCGAGGAATCAGACAGATACAAATCTGAAGATGTATTTTGAACTGTTTCTTTCCAAATTTATAAATTCTTTGGAGTTAAAAGCCAGATTGTTATTCCATTCAGACACAAGATATATTCTTACCTTCTTTTCTTTCTCCTATTTAATCTTCTTTGCATCATTTTATGTTATGTTCTTAACTTCTTCGTCTGTTTCACCTATTTCATCTTTTCTTTGCATCTTTTAAATACATTCCTCTATCTTTTTTCTCATAATCTCCTTCCTCCTCCAAATTCTTAATGTTCTTCTCCTGCTACTTTTCATCTCTTCCATTTTTTCTTCTCCCTTACATACTTTATCACTTCCTCTTCCCTCATCACTTGTAATCTTCTTCTTCTTGTAACACTACCATTGCCCCTGCCACTGTTACTGCTAATGCCATTGCTACTGCCCCTGAAACTACTACTACTGCTACTGCTGTTGCTACTACCCCTGCCACTGTTACTAACGCTAGTATTACTACTAACCCCACTGTCCCCACCGCCACCACTACTACTCTGTTGTTCTCTCTTCTCTCTGTTTCCTTCTTTCTCCTCTATCCCGGTCCCTTTATCACACTCTTCTCCTTCTATTCCCCCATTATCTAAATCTTCTGTCCTTCAATCACTTGAACCTTACACTTGTGGGTTCGGGATCTGACAGGTTTATAAATTACGACTTGAATAGGAAGGGGAAGAAGTGATAGCTGCCTATTTGAATGCGGGTATCCGAAACTCGTTTTAAGGAATTGGGAAAACGATGAGAAACATCAGGCGGGATAAAAGGCCTCTCGGCTAAGAATGGAATCTGGAACCTACTGAATCCTAAGCATGAGAGGTCTACTAACCGCTCAACTCCGACGTCCCGCGAGTACTTACTTTGACACACATCAAGAGCAGCGAGTTCTGCATATGAATATACGTGTACTTTGCAAGACCTGCTGTCTGGCCTTACCTTGGCAGTGTCTTCTGTTGTCCCGGTTGTTGGCCTGCATTGGTGTCGCGCCGGACGGCCGTTGCTGTCGCTACTGTGTGCTTGGGGTTCAGATCTACGCTGACATTCCATTGGTCCGTGCTTGCATCCGCTCCCAGTAGCCTCAGGCCGCTCTTCACTCTGGCCCTGTAGCGGAACATAAGACATTCAGACTGCGGTTACCTCAGAGAAAAACGGATTACTTAGGAAATTTTTTCGGCACAAAGCAATATAGAAGTAACCCGAAAAGTTAAAACAACATAAAGAATCAAAGAACGGGTTTCAAATTTTTGCGGCTGAGTATCCAGATTTCCTCCAGGGCTGCAGCATTAACACTGTGAGGGCATTTGCCTGTGCTGATCACCCGCACAGCTATGCTAGCGGGGACATAAATTCCTGGTAGGATCTCCTACACCTATAAAGCACTCTCGATTATAAATTCCTTCGAGTTAAACGTACTTGAGCCAAGTACAGATTTTGTGCAGCACAGGATCAGATGTGTGTCGGTTTTACTTTATTTAACGACGCTGTACCAACTGCTCAGTTATATAGCGAATGTATTCCGAACATAAGTCAAACATGTTTCCTGTAACTTATCCCTTCTCCCACTGACAGTTACACATCTAGAAACGCTGATTATTATTAGAATGGAAGCGAAATATATTTAAAATAAACGGCCTACCGGTCATTCTATACGTAACAGGAGAAGTTGGATCATCCTATCTTATTTGTGAACGGCAGAAATTACATTGTCAGATAGTCACAACCCTTCTCTCCGGTTCGTATCCTGATTCCGTATCCCCGTCTTACAATCCGCTCAGTAGTAACAGAAACTCGTATCAGAAAAAAAAACCAACGGCAAAGTTAAGTGCAGGGTAAGAAAAACCGACGACAAAGTTGAGTGAAGGATAAGAAAAACCGACAAAGTTGAATGAAGGATAAGAAAGACCGACGACAAAGTTGAGTGAAGGATAAGAAAACCGACGACAAAGTTGAGTGAAGGATAAGAAAAACCGACGAAGAAGTTGAGTGAAGGATAAGAAAAACCAACGGCAAAGTTAAGTGCAGGATAAGAAAAATCGACGACAAAGTTGAGTGAAGGATAAGAAAAACCGACGACAAAGTTGAGTGAAGGACAAGGAAACCGACGACAAAGTTGAGTGAAGGATAAGAAAAACCGACAACAAAGTTGAGTGAACGATAAGAAAAACTGACGACAAAGTTGACTGAAGGATAAGAAAAACCGACGACAAAGTTGAGTGAAGAATAAGAAAAACCGACGACAAAGTTAAATGAAGTAAACGAGAGTAAAAAACTCTCAAACGGGAATAGCCTCGGTTTCACGTGCTGCGATCTATAAATTCTTTATGAAGAAGAGAAATAACTCTTGCCCCTACTGGGAATCGAACACCGAATCCCCGGTCATCCAGCCTGTAGCCTAGTCACAATACCGACTGAGCTATCGCAGCTCCTACAACAATGCGCTTGTTTATGTCTAATACTACAATTTATACTCTTTATTCTTCTTCGTGTGATAATGATGACTTCATATCTGCATGGAGTTCGCATCCCGTATTGTCTGTATTTAGCGCACAGCCGCGATCCTAAGTTGGAATTACTGTAACGATCTGTTTTTTAAAATAATTCAACAGCTACAACTGTTACCTTAAACGTCGAATTTCCCATAATATTGTGCTTCTTTGTCTGATGTGTCTCGTGTTGAACTCATGGATCCGTCCTGCAGATGCCTTGAAGGCAAAATGTGAAATTTTGAAATGAAAAGATGCTGTCAAAACCCCTGTAATGTGTGGGGAGTAACTAACATGTTTGCTTCCTCTTGCACTTATGAACTGATCGTTAATTCAAGAATTTATCGCGGTGCACTTATCTCCATCACTTGCGACTCTTTTCACCGTCTCCTTCCACCACCTCAATTATACAGTGCTTTCAAGTATTCGTGTTTTTTTCAGTACGTATCTTCTTACAAGCAAATTTATCAAAAATGTAGCAATTAGTGTTAAGTTAGATACAGTTAGGACATGTACTATCCAAACGGGGAAAAATTATGAAAATATTTATATTCCATACAAAATTCAACACAAAGAATCAAAATACAACAGACCAGGAAAATGCTGTTTGCTTTAAATAATATATTTGAATTAATGTGTTAAAAGTTAAAACTATTTGCACTGCGTAAATAAAACACAACATAAAACGAAAGGAATGGAGGTATAAAGGATTAGAATTGATGGGTGTCTAGTGGATATGTGTAATTGGGTCTGAGGACTGAGTATTAACCTTAGGTCGCCCAAGCACTTAAGACCACCAATGGGTGGATTCGTAAGCCTGCTTAAAATGGTTCTACGCTTCATATCAATTTAGGCCTATGTAAATATCCAAACTTAACCTTTAGCTTTACACAGGGTCTACACAAAAACAACAGCTATAGAACGTATAATGTTAAAGAAAGTAGATTCTGGATTTGTAACAAATGTGTGCACACGTAAAATATAATTATTTTTAAACAACCAGCGATTCGAAGTTCTCACATCAGTGAATGCGAAGAGGATGAAACGTCATGTAGTCTGGTAGAAGGTCACTGACGTTTCGACTGTCTGTTCGGCTTACTCTTCATCGTCGTACATGATGGCAGCAGGTTCCTCCAAAAACTCGGTAAACTTCAACCAAACTACACGGGGTCACATCCTAGAAAATTATATTTGTCAGTTCCTAAACAGAATCAAGTTCTTCCGGGCGGTTTTCGGCAGCTGTAAGTGCGCGCGCAGTCGTCGGTTGAAAATGGCGGGATTATTTTCTGCTCGCTTACAAACGGGTCGATAAGACCTCGTAAGGAGGTCAAACGTTGGTCCCAAGATTCACATCGTTAAGTTCAAATGTAGGCTTACCTGTCAGTTCAGATAAGTTGCATACGAATTCCTGGTAACGTCACACTAACCGAACTTTCTGGTAGATTCTGAAAGGTTTTGACGATGGTGTATATTACTCAGAATTACTGCGGTTTCGGACTTTGTCCATCGTCCAGTATTCTAGAAACTGGAAAATACAACATTTCGGAAAATGGATCTGTTTCCATCCTCAGGTGAAAGGAAATGGGACACCTAATCTGTTGGGTCCCTTAGAAAGAGCTAACCTCAAGAACGACAGGCGGCACACGTTCGGCCCCCATCAAGAGAAGTAATAAGAAAGAGGACACGAACCTATTTGGTTTATAAATTCTAACTTAACTAATAAAATTAAAAACAATTAATATATCAAAACAGCCGCTGTAGTTGTAAAAACTTTGGATCTTGTATCCATTTGTATACTATCAACATTGTATGTACATATTAACGCCCAGAACATCTATGGACCGAAACATGTAAGGGCATGAAGAATTAAAATGAGAAAAATCTTCACCAGTCACACTGGGCGGAACTGTTTTATCTCTTTATAATATTGTTAGTGTGACAGACCAGAATGAAACAAATCAAATTCATCAAAACAGACCAAAAACAAAAGGTGTCTCCCCCTCACCTGAGGAAGGAAACAGATCCAATTTCCGAACTGTAGCGTTTTCTAGTTTCTAGAATACCGGACGATGGACAAAAGTTCCAAAACCCAGCAATTCTTAGTAATAAATTCCTGCTCAAGATGCCTGACAAGGCGTTACGCGTCGGCTAGCGAATTCATACATAACTTCCTGTTCAAGATGTCTGACAAGGCGTTACGCGTCTGCTAGTGAATTCATACAAATTATTCTGGGAAGTGCAGATGATCGGTTGCAGGATTTTGTTTTTATTTTCAATTTTAATGTTTCCGGATCTACAGGTCTAAACAGCTCCGCTGCTAGAAAATAAACGTAATCTCAGTCAATTCATAATTTGCAGTGCCTAAAACTTTCTTTCAGAATTATCCACCACTCGGCAGGCATTTATGAAAACGTATTATGGGCTAGAGACTGTCTCTATGGTCTAGTGGTCAGAGTTCCTGGCTACAGATCCAGAGGTCCGGGTTCGATTCCCGGCGCTACCAGATTTTCTGAGAAGTAGTGGTTCTGGAACGGGGTCTACTCAGCCTCGTGAGGATAACTGAGGAGTTATTGCAAGGAAATAGGGACTCCGGTCTAGAAAACGGAAATTAACGGCCGTGGGGATTCGTTGCGCTGACCACGCGACACACTCTCCGTTAAAGTTGGCACTAACTTCGCCGACAAGAGGCAGTCGCTCGGTCGGTATAGTTCGCTTGCAGACTAAAACCACAGAGTTTTTTATGGGCTAGACGACTGTTGTTCGAATCACTGTAGGGAAGTTAGAACTTTTCTTCTCGAAACCACAAACATGAAACACTTGTCGGTGAATCCAAACGTAGCCCTCTCATTAACATGTTTCTAAGCAAGCACCTGTCTCCAAAGCTTTGGCGTCCTGTAGCGTAGGTCTATCTACAAGCGAATCTGCGTTCCAGTTAGCACATTAACTGGCCTCAGCTTACGTATAGTAAGACGACACTGCTCAATGACGTAATGGCTGACGTCATATGCTTACCATTCAATGCCTTCAGCGTTGTTCTACACCAAGGGTCTCCGAACTACGGCCCGCGGACCACATCCGGCCTGCGAAAGAATTGTGCAGAAATGCGCCAACTGAATAATTTTTCAATGAGTACTGGTAAAAAAATACTTGTTCATAGAATTCAAATTCATTAATTAAGATTGCGTTTAAAATATATTGATATTCCATATTATATTAATATTAATATTATTCACAATTTTACTAATTCTGGACCATATACTGCGCGGTATTTCTTCGTACTTGTTCGTCCTCAATCGGCAGTGTCACTTCGTGGCAATGTAGGTAGCGCGAGCAGTTCGTTACTAGCCGTCTTGTGCACAAGACTTCTTGCAGTGGTGCAGTGTAATCGTAACACATCATCATCACCTCAATTCAATCAGATTCTAAGAATGCAAATCGAGTTCTATCATTCACATTAGTTGTTTTATTATAATTTGTGATGTCTGTTGTCATTAATATACGATAATTTATTCTCACGTACTTTGTATTTAGTTTATGAAATTCTGTGCTTTCAATAAAACTCATATACCTAGAGTTATGAATTTCTCATTTTATCCGGCCCGTTGAAAGTGCTGAATT